GTTATCAACACTGAACACATAACATACACTCACATCATAACAACAATACACCATAACCCCCTCTAATAATGTCATAAATATACAGTAACTCAGCACATCCCGAGACGAGGGCTCAGTGAGCAGTTAGTGATAAACCTCACATAACAATAAGGTAATATTAATACTACTGTAATATTAATACTACTGTAATATTAATACTACTGTAATAATATGAATACTAATGTTACAATAATGTAATAACAATACACAATAATAGTAACATCATAACAATAATTATATTAATAATAACCCTCACCTTAACATCCGCCTCAATCAGCTCATAGTCAATGATTTTGGAGTTGGCATCTCGGTTTCCCTGGGGACCAGTCAACAACCAATCAGAGACTCTGACCTCTCACCCCAAGCCCCCCCAACCCCTACAGCCCCCCCCCCCAACCCCTCCCCCAAACCCAAGCCCCTCCCTCAACCCCTACAGCCCCTCCCCCAAACCCTCCCTCAACCCCTACAGCCCCTCCCCCAAACCCCTCCCTCAACCCCTACAGCCCCTCCCCAAACCCCTCCCTCAACCCCTACAGCCCTCCCCCAAACCCCTCCCTCAACCCCTACAGCCCCTCCCCCAAACCCAAGCCCCTCCTCAACCCCTACAGCCCCTCCCCCAAACCCTCCTCAACCCCTACAGCCCCTCCCCCAAACCCTCCCTCAACCCCTACAGCCCCTCCCTCAACCCTACAGCCCCTCCCCAAACCCAAGCCCCTCCCTCAACCCCTACAGCCCCCCCGAAACCCAAGCCCCTCCCTCAATCCCTACAGTCCCTCCCCCAAACCCAAGCCCCTCCCTCAACCCTTATAGCCCCTCCTCAAAACCCATATAGCCCCTCCCTCTCTGGAGGTTACCTTTGCCAGAGCGAGCAGCAGTTTCTGGAAGTTTCCTTTGGTGTCTCCTTTAATGGCGTCCATCAAATCCTTCTTAAACTCTGGGGAACACACAACCAGTCACACACAATCCCCCACACAGCCCTAAACACAGCCCCAAACACAGCCCCAAACACAGCCCTAAACACAGCCCTAAACACAGCCCAAAATACAGCCCTAAACACAGCCCCAAACACAGCCCCAAACACAGCCCCAAACACAGCCCTAAACACAGCCATAAATACAGCCCTAAACACAGCCCAAAATACAGCCATAAACACAGCCCCAAAAACAGCCATAAACACAGCCCCAAACACAGCCCCAAACACAGCCCTAAACACAGCCATAAATACAGCCCTAAACACAGCCCAAAATACAGCCATAAACACAGCCCCAAAAACAGCCATAAACACAGCCCCAAAAACAGCCCTAAACTCAGCCCAAAAGTTGGAGTCCTGTAGCTCAGTGGTTAGAGCACTCGCTTTGCAAGTGAGAGACCTGAGTTCAATTCCAGGCAGAGGGCGAACCCTCGGGCAAGTTTCCTTACCCCACACAGAGCCTAATAATAATCCTCCAAAACAAAAAAAAACAATAATAAAAAATTGGTCATTTTGAATCTACAACGCTTTGTGGGACATTACTGTGCGCAATTGGCTGTCGCGTTCGCCCACAAATATACAGTCAATCACTTTACAGTGTGTTCTGTGAAGCGCTTTGGGACGTCCTCTCCCGACGTGAACAGCGCTATATCAAATGCAAGGATTATTATTAAAATACAGCCCCAAATACAGCCATAAACACAGCCCCAAATACAGCCCTGAACACAGTCCCAAACACAAGCCTAAACACAGCCCTAAACACAGGCGGGTTAGGGTTAGAAGTTGAGGTACAGATCAGCCTTGATCTTATAGAATGGCGGAACAGGCTTGTGGGGCTGAATGGCCTCCTCCTGTCTCTATGCCCCCACCCCATCCTCTGACCTTGTTTGTAGATGACAGCCATGTCCTGGATTTCTGTGTTGGACCTGGTGCAGAGCAACTCAGCCAGTGTTTCCTCATCCGTCCCGAGGCCCTGACAACAACAATAGCTGGTGTTTACACAGCGCCCCCGCCAGCAGGACAGCGTCCCAGAGCGCTAAACAGCGGCGGAGCACGACCCCAAGCCAGGGGGGGGGGGAGGGACAAGCAGGAGGCTGGAGCCGGCCGAGCGGGTGGGGGAGTGGGGGGGAGAGCAGGTGGGAGAGGTAGGGAGGTGCCGGGGCGTGAAAGGGTTTGAAAACAAGATGGCTGACGGACGGGTGGATGAATAGACGGACGGACCTTTACGGCTGCGTTGACCTGGAGAGCGCTGTAGGCCGCTGGTGTCTTGAGCAAAGCAATGATCACCGTCTCTAGGTGGCCAGAGAGACCTTTCTTCAGCAAAGGCTCGAGGTCCTGACCCTTCGGGTAATGGGAGAGAGCAAGACCGTGAGTGGGGCTATCCCTCTCTCCCCTTCTCTCTCTCCCCCACGTACCTGTCGTGTCCCAAACTACACACTCACATTTTCTCTCTCTCTCGCCCCCCCGACCCCCCCCCCCGAGCCCCGTAAACATGTCTCAAACCTCGCTGAGACGGTAAAACGCCCGGGAAATGCTCTGTCGCTGTTCGTTGGTGCGATTCGTCAAAACGTTCAGAATCGTGGCCTCATCCACACCTGATATTGAGAGCGAGAGAGAGAGTGAGAGACACAGAGTGTGAGACTGAGAGAGAGAGAGAGAGAGAGAGAGAGATGGAAAGTCAGAGAGAGAGGGATGGAAAGAGTGAGTGTAAGAGAGAAAGAGAGTGTGTGTGTGTATGTGTGAGAGAGAGTCAGAGGTACAGAGAGAGAGATGGAGAGAGAGTGAGAAAGAGAGAGAGAGGTACCTTTTGTGTTGAGGGCTTTAAACAGTGTCTGAGCATCATTTTCCTCATCAAAATTGGAGAAAGGTTTGACAGTTGCCAGTGTTCCCCAGGCTGTGGGCTGAGAGAGAGAGAGAGTGTGAGCGAGAGAATGTGTGACATAGAGAGTGTGAGAGCGAGAGAGAGAGACAACACAGTAATACATCTCAGCATCGCAATAATACTACTACTAATAATAACCCTAGCATTTCACCCAGCGCTTTATCATGCCTTCACGTCTTAAAGGCATCTCAAAGCCCTCGTCCCTAAGGTTTCGCCCTGTCCTGTCCCGCCCGGGAATCAAACCCGGGTCCTCTGGCTTGTGAGGCGAGGGCTCTAACCCCTGAGCTACAGGACTGCAGCAATATGCAGTAACAGGCTCTGGCATAAGCTAATGAGGCACAAACTGATACTGTAAATGCACCTCAAGGGCTAAAATACCAAACTACTCTTCGTTACACAATTACCTAGCTGATGGGTATGTCGAGGTACACGATCTGTCACTCCCTCTCTCTCTGTCTCTAATCCTCTCTCTCTCATTTCACCCCCCCATCACTCTCTCCTCTTGTCCCCCCTCTCTTTTTCTCTGCTCATGTCCCCCTCTCTCTCTATCCCTCCCTCCTTCTCTCCTCCTGTCTCTCTCTCTCCCTGCTTACCTAATTCCGGAGAGTATTAGGCGCAGGTTGGCGAGAGCCGAGGCTTGCGGGGGGGTAACTGTTGGAGTCTAACCAGCTCAAACCACACAGCTTGGCCATCGAGAGAGAGAGAGCGCTGTCTGGCCAGCGTTCCCGCTGCTTGTCCAGCGAGGACCCCCCTCCCCGTTAGTTAGTTAGTTAGTTAGTCAGGGCTTTGGCTGTGGGGTTAACAGGGGCTGAGGGGGAGGATTCCCTGCCCCCAGTGACTGGTTGACCCTTCCAGGTCCTAATGATGAGCCGGGCCGGGCTGTGCTGCCATCAGCAGCGAGTGCCCTGTGAACCCTCCTGGCTCAGGAACCAGACTAGAGACTGGCACAAATGAATATTTGACTTACCTTATCCACGAGTGAGAGCTGGCTAAGGATTTCATTCACCAAAACCATTGTCTGTGGAGGTTTTGCTTGATTCAAACACAGTGAGTGAGTAACCTGCAAAACAGCAATTAATATGCACTAATTATCCTGTTTTAGGGCTTTACACAAAGAGTGGAGCAGTGAGTCACAGAGGGAGCTTTACTGGGTCTGTAACCCTGACCTGGGAGTGTGGACGCACAGTGTAGAGGAGCTTTACTGTGTCTGTAACCCTGACCTGGGAGTGTGGACACACAGTGTAGAGGAGCTTTACTGTGTCTCTAACCCTGACCTGGGAGTGTGGACACACAGTGTAGAGGAGCTTTACTGTGTCTGTAACCCTGACCTGGGAGTGTGGACGGACGCACAGTGCAGAGGAGCGTTACTGTGGGATGGGCTCTGGGAGAGGCTGCTGTTAGGAAAGAATGACTGTCCAAACAAAGAAATGATTCAGTCACAGTTCAGCTTCTCCCCCTATTGTTCGCTGGTGTTAGAGAGAATCAAGATTACATCTCTCTCTCTCCCCCTCCCTCCCTCTCACGGGAGGTTGGAAACCTATCCTCAATCCTGCTCAACCAGTTTTCCTGCCCTGACCGGGAATGTTCTGCACACACACCCCAACCCCCCAACCTGCACTGAACAGTTGCCTGTGACCAGGGAAGAGAGGCTAACACAACCCCCTCACCCCTCTCTGTCACTATGTGTGCGTCTCTGTCTCTCACTCCCCCTCCCTCCCTTCCTTCTCTGTCTGTGTTCACATTCAGTTATCGCCCGGGGAAGGAGAGACAAAGTGGTTGTTTAACCTCAGGTTAAAATCTGCGAGACACAGCAAGGCAGAGGCAAACCCAACCATCGTAAAAATGTACGTTCCTTCCCCTTAACTGCCACCGGCTGCCTTTCCTCCCCAAAATCTACAGCCATGGAACCCCCAACTCCTAAACCACAGCCTCCGTCTCTCTCTCTCTCTATCTCACTGTAGCAGCTCAGAGTGGTAGCAGCTGACATTGTAATCCGTTCCTTTGAACTCAAGCCCAAACGCCACACACCTACCTGTCTGGTCGAAGCTGAGCGTCTCTGTGAAGGTGGAGAGAGAGAGCGGGTAATGTACTGTAGGGAGTGGCTGACACATTCCACATGGACATTACTTCCTAGACTGAAGGGCAAATCTTTTATCTGTTGGACCTAGAAAGCAACGACAACTTGCATTAGCTCAGAAAGCTCCTGCTGCCACCACGACCCTGACTTACCTCTGCTCCACCACTTAAATCATCAATACCCCGTCTAGCTCGACACTCCTGATAACTAGTCACTGAACCCCTTTCCCCCTTGGAGTGACCAGTTATCAGTTTACTGTTATGATCCTCGCATTTGATACAGCCCCTGATCACATCGTCGAGACATCTCAAAAGCGCTTCACAGGATTCACCGTAAAATGGAGTGACTGTGTGTTTTGTGGGCGAAACGCGGCAGTCTATTTGCGCCCAACGACGTCCTCGCAAACAGCCATGCAGCGAGCCAGCAGTTTTATCTGTCGGCCAGGACACCAGGAGAGAGAAAGAGAAGCCCCCTTCTCTTCCCCCTCCCCAACAGCACTGGGGGAGATGTGTGAGAAAGTGTCGTCTCAAAACGCTTCACAGTATGTACAATAAAGTGTAGTGACTTCTAAAGTGTTAAGAAATTGAGATCAAGACATTTGACCTCATCACGTCGTCGAGACGTCTCAAAGCGCTTTGCAGGACACATTGTAAAGTGTAGTGACTGTGTGTTTTGCGGTAACGCGGTTTAAGAGAAGCTTTGAACAACAAGAAATTAAAAACTTAAAAAGCAAACCCATGATGTGATGTTGAAATATATTATTGTTGTATATTTTATTGCATTTTTCTTTACATCAGAATTTAAATAGCGTCAGCAAGGAAATTCTGTTCCAAATCTGATCCCGGTAATCAGACCAGCAGAGGGTAGCGCTGAGACACACCCAGAGACTGTGTGTGTGAGAGCGAGAGATAAGAGACAGGGTGGGAAAAAGAGTGGGGGGAGAAAGAGAGCGAAGGGAGAGTCAGTCAGAGGGAGAAACAGAGAGAGAGGCGGGAGAGAGAGAGCAGACAAGGCTGGGAGAGCAATCTCACACACTGACGCGTTGAGTGATTAGTAGCTGTGATGACGGTCTGTAATCTTCCCCCACCCACACCTCCCCCCACTCCCTGCCCCCCATCTCCCCCCCTCCCCAATCACCGACTGGAAAACAGCCCCTTGAACAGTCTGTCCCAGAGAGTGAAGACATCATGTAACCTCTCGCTGTCTGTCTCTCGCTCCCACTCCGGGGAGAATGGCTGGACATCGCCTGGGGAGGGAGAGAGAGACAGGCAGAATCACAAGAGTCAGACACACCGCAATCTCTCTCTCTCCCTCTGCCCCCACTCCCTGCCCACCACCCCCAGCCCTCAACACTCACCTTCGTTGGCTTGGCTCTGTGACTCCTCGCTGTGAGACATACCCCCTCTCCGTCTTGTTACCTCAGTTTTCTCGTTCCCCTGACTGTCTCTCACTGTGCGGCGCTCTTCCACTGTCTGTGTGTGTGTGTTTGTGGGGGGTGGGTGGGGGAGAGAGAAAGATTTTTTCAAAGATAAATTATCCTTGCATTTTTGTTAACCTTGCATTTGACCCGGCGCTTATCACGTCGTCGAGACGTCTCAAAACCCTTCACAAGATACACTGTAAAGTGTAGTGACTGTGTGCTTTGGTGGGGGGGGGGGGAGGAGTGGATTATTATCCCTGGAAAGCGATCCCCCAATCGACTAACAAATGGGTTCCTACATACTGTTAGGTAAACAGAGGCGCGCGCACGCGCGTGTGTGTGTGTGTGTGTGTGTGTGTGTGTGTGTGTGTGTGTCAGACAGAGACCCCCAGGCACTCACCCCGTCTGGGAGGGTCACTGTTGACACTGAGACGCTGCGGAAGAAAGATCGTGTGTGGGGCTCGGTTGGTCTCAGGATCGTCCCCAATCCTTCTGACGTCACCTCAGAGTCCAAATCTGCTCACAAAGGCAACTTATAATCCTGGCATTTTACACAGCGCCCGATCACCTCGTCGAGACGTCTCAAAGCGCTTCACGGGATACACTGTAAAGTGCAGTGACTGTGTGTTTTGGGGGCGAAACACGGCAGCCAATTGCATCCAGCGACATCCCCACAAACAGTCGTGTATTGAGTGACCACGTTATTGTTATTTTTTTGGAGGGATTATTACTCCTGGAAAGGACTCCTCGTGTTTACGCATCACGCAGGGTAGCGTCTCGGAGCGCTTAACTGTGACGGGGCCTGACACGAGCCGGGAGGAGAGGGGAGGTGACCGTAGGCACGGTCGAAGAGGAACGTCTTTAGGCAGGATTTGAAAGTGGACAGGGAGACGGCAAGGCGGAGGGCTTGAGGGAGGGAGTGACACAGACATGGTGGAAGGGAGAGGTGGGTGACAGAGCACAGTCTGGGACAGAAAAATCACAAACCCTGATCTTCCTTCACACTGTCTTCCCGTCCGGAAGGGAACAACTTCCACATATCAGCAAACTGCAATGACAGAGAGAGAGAGAAAATCCGTTCAAAATCCTGACGAAACAGAGGAATGAATACTTACTGCCCTTAATAACCCTCGCAATCAATACAGTGCCTTGGGCGATGTCTCAAAGCACCTCACACCATTCACTGTGTAGTGCAGTGACTGTGTATTTTTTGGACAGCCAATTGCGCACAGCAGTGTCCCACAAACAGTTGTGGATTGAGTGACCACATTTTTTTTGAAGGAAACTTGCCTAAGGTTTCGCTCTGTCCTGACCCATCTGGGAATCGAACCCGGGTCTTCTCGCTTGCGAGGCGAGTGCGATAACTACTGAGCTACAGGCCTCCACTCCATATTGTATCAAAGACAAGGGCGCTGGACATACAAGATACTTCAGTCAGGCTCCTGCACTGTTAAGCGACCTGAGATACTGCCCGCATGACGGGTGCTGTGTAAATGCAAGTTGTTGTTGTTTCTCACCCTTCTGAACGGATCCCTGGGTGATGTGTAGGGAGGAGCTGGAGCTGCTTCTGCTCTGGGCTGGTCCCTGGGGTCTATCTTGGTCGCTCCCAGCGCCCCTCCCCCAGAGGTTGACGGCTCAGAGTCCGGCTCCTTCAGCATCCAGTCACGTGGCCCCTTCCTCTTCCTCTCCTCAGTCCCCCTCGCTGGGTAACCCTCCACACCCGGCAGCTCTGTTTACAACAACAACACGGATAATATTATTCAGTGCATTTGACTCGGGGTCTGACATCCCAGTGCCTCCCAGGGAATTAATATCAAGTGTAGTGACTGTACACTTATAAGCCTCGCATCTCACGTGAACGCGCTTCCCGGCATTCAGTGTAAAGTGTAGTGACTGTGTGTTTAACACCGCAGCCGATTTGCGCCCAGCGACGGACCTGCAAACAGCCGTGGACAGGACACCCTCCCCCCTCCCTGACAGAACCGTGGGAGATCTTTAACGTCCGCCTTGAACAGGACACAGATGAGAGAGTGAGGGAGTGAGGGTTAACGTCTCAGTAGAAAGACGGCATCTCCGACAAGGTGCTCGCTCTCTCTCCCCCGGCGCTGCGCTGGAGCGTCAGCCTGGACTCTGAGCTCAGGGCCCTAATGGGGACTGACTTGATGGGCTGAATGGCCTCCTGTTCCTCTCATAACAAAACCAGTCGCTCAGGACCTGACGGGAACATCGGAGGCAACTTGCCGAGGGCTCCTGTGGGCACGTCCCAGCTCCCGATCCCCCTGAACAGGTCGTCCATCTCCCGGAAAAAACCCGAGACCCCGTCAGGCGCGAAACCGAACCCCGACCCAAAGCAGCCGCCTTCATCATCATCGCCCCCCTCCTCATCATCATCCTCCTCCTCGCGAGTCTCGGTCCGGAAGAACGGATCCCTGGAAGATAAGAGGAGACGGCGGGTGACGGGACAAAAACACGGGGATAATAACGCGTTGGGGGTCAATCCCCGCAGTGGGGCCGCTCCCCCCCCCCCCCCCCTCTCTCGCTGCCGCCGCCACTCTGCTCCCGGGCCTCAGGCGCTTCTCTCACCTCCTTCCCCCGGAGCCGAGCCCGAGAAACCCGCGGAGAAAGTCGGACAAACTCATCCACCGCCTCCGCACCTCCCGCGGCGCCGCGCGACCACTTTCCACGTTAGAAAATCCGCTTAAACCGACGCCGCACAACTGTCCTTCCACCGTAAAGCAGATTGACCACTTCCTCCCGGTGACGCACTGCCTTTCTGCTGTAAAGTAGAGTCCCGCCCCTCCCCCCGTGTCGTAAAGCACTAATTAAAGAGGAACCGCTCCGGAGAAACACACAAAATACAGATCACAATGGATTGTTTTTATTAAAGGTGTGAAATGGACCGGTTTTGCTGCTCACACATCAGGAGCCGCGGCCCTGACCCGCATTCCCACGGCCCCTTTGTTTTGTTTACAGTCCATGGACCAAACGGACTGACCAAGTTGGCGATGCTGGAACCCATCGCCTGAAAGGCCGGTGGGAACCGATTCGATAACAGCTTCTAAGAGAAGCAGATAATTATTTGGGGACAAGTTTGCAGGGCCATGGGGAGAGAGCGGGGGAGTGGGGTTGATCAGGGCCATGGGGAGAGAGTGGGGGAGTGGGGTTGATCAGGGCCATGGGGAGAGAGTGGGGGAGTGGGGTTGATCAGGGCCATGGGGAGAGAGTGGGGGAGTGGGGTTGATCAGGGCCATGGGGAGAGAGAGGGGGGGAGTGGGGTTGATCAGGGCCATGGGGAGAGAGGGGGGAGTGGGGTTGATCAGGGCCATGGGGAGAGAGGGGGGGAGTGGGGTTGATCAGGGCCATGGGGAGAGAGGGGGGAGTGGGGTTGATCAGGGCTATGGGGGAGAGTGGGGGAGTGGGGTTGATCGGGGCCATGGGGAGAGAGGGGGGAGTGGGGTTGATCAGGGCTATGGGGAGAGAGGGGGGGAGTGGGGTTGATCGGGGCTATGGGGAGAGAGGGGGGGAGTGGGGTTGATCGGGGCCATGGGGAGAGAGGGGGGGAGTGGGGTTGATCGGGGCCATGGGGAGAGAGGGGGGGAGTGGGGTTGATCGGGGCTATGGGGAGAGAGTGGGGGAGTGGGGTTGATCAGGGCTATGGGGAGAGCGCGGGGGAGTGGGGTTGATCAGGGCTATGGGGAGAGCGCGGGGGAGTGGGGTTGATCAGGGTTATGGGGGAGAGCGGGGGGAGTGGGGTTGATCAGGGCCATGGGGAGAGAGCGGGGGAGTGGGGTTGACCAGGGTTATGGGGGAGAGAGCGCGGGGGGAGTGGGGTTGATCAGGGCCATGGGGAGAGAGCGGGGGAGTGGGGTTGACCAGGGTTATGGGGGGAGAGAGAGCGGGGGAGTGGGGTTGATCAGGGCCATGGGGAGAGAGCGGGGGAGTGGGGTTGATCAGGGCTATGGGGGGAGAGCGGGGGGGAGTGGGGTTGATCAGGGCCATGGGGAGAGAGCGGGGGAGTGGGGTTGACCAGGGTTATGGGGGAGAGAGCGCGGGGGAGTGGGGTTGATCAGGGCCATGGGGAGAGAGCGGGGGAGTGGGGTTGACCAGGGTTATGGGGGGAGAGAGAGCGGGGGGAGTGGGGTTGATCAGGGCCATGGGGAGAGAGCGGGGTTGACCAGGGTTATGGGGGAGAGAGAGCGGGGGGAGTGGGGTTGATCAGGGCCATGGGGAGAGAGCGGGGGAGTGGGGTTGACCAGGGTTATGGGGGGAGAGAGAGCGGGGGGAGTGGGGTTGATCAGGGCCATGGGGAGAGAGCGGGGGAGTGGGGTTGACCAGGGTTATGGGGGGAGAGAGAGCGGGGGAGTGGGGTTGATCAGGGCCATGGGGAGAGAGCGGGGGGAGTGGAGTGGGGTTGATATGGGTAGCTATTTTCAAAGAGCGGCACAACATAATTCTATGAGTGTCCAATGGTCATTCTGGGCTACGTTGGGATAATAAGGAATAGGAATCACTGAATAGCCACATGTGACACAGTTTTAGCCACACGCACTAATCACAGCTGTTCCACTTACAAAACACACAGTCACTACACTTTACAGTGAATCCTGTCAAGCGCTTTGAAGTCACAAGTGTGATTTCAAATGGGAAGATGATTATTATTGTTACTAATGCTCATTGCAATCAAACAATACCTTTATTCAAAGGGAAAAAATATTCACACTGCGAAGTCAATACATTTTTATTTGTGATCAGCCGGGTGTCTGACACACGCGGAAACCCGTCACCGTGATCAGCCGGGGGTCTGACACACACACACGGAAACCCGTCACTGTGATCAGCCGGGGGTCTGACACACAGACACACACACAGGTGGAAACCCGTCACCATGAACAGCCGGGTGTCTGACACACAAGGAAACTCAGGCAAAACCCTGTGCAATGCTTCACGTTTCCAGGCACAGATGGGAAGAGTCACTGTTCTCTCAGATCAGAGATCGCTCACGTCTATCCGGCAAAGGAAACTGAGGTAGGGTATACTTTCTTTCCAGGGAAGGAGATGAGCGACTCCCAGGTCGCACTCACGTAGTCGGGCCGGGCTGTTCGACTTTTTTCCGTATTCGGACGCTGACAGGACCTGTGGGTAGTGACTTGATGAGGTTCCAGGCTTCATAGCAGGTGAGGTCCTGCATAGTCACACCTTGTATCTCCATCACCTGGTCACCTGTCTGGATCAGGCCCGAGCTGGCTGCTAATCCGCCTAGAATAATAATAAAAATAATTAATAGTAATCTTTACATTTGATACAGCTTCTTTCACGTCAGGAGCACATCTTAAAGCGCTTTACAGGATTCACTGTACAGTGTTGCGACTGTGTTTTGTAGCTGGTCATGGTGACGGGTTTCCCTGTGTGTCAGACATCCGGCTGATTTAAAAGACACTGGACAAGAGATCGCTTACCCTGGAAAACCTTCTTCACAGTCAGTGGTTTATCTCCCTGACTCGAGCCCCTTCCTCCGTTCAGACTGAAGCCCAGACCAGAGGAGCCCTTGGTCAGTTCCATGGTGACCGTTTTACCCACAGGATCTGGGAAACAGAACACAAGGCCTCTGAGAATACAGGGCCAACAAGCTTCCCCCACGCCCAGGAAAACACAGCGCCTTATCACGTTGTCGAGACATCTCAAAGCAATTTAGCAGCCAATTGCGCCCAGCGTTGTCCCCACAAATAACCGTGGGTTGAGTGACCATATTATTTTTTAAAAAAGGGATTATTATCCCCGGAAAGCGATCCCCCAATCGACTAACAAGTGGGTTCCTACTGACTGCCGGGAAACAGAGGTGTGTGTGTGTCTGTCACTGTGTGTGTGGAGTAAGGAAACTTGCCTAAGGTTTCGCCCTGTCCTGTCCAACCTGGTAATTAAACCCGAGTCCTCTCACTTGCGAGGCGAGCGCGATAAACCCTGAGCTACAGGAGTCCAAGGTGACCTGTGACCCTAAAGAACAAGTAGACCCTGTGAACTCCAAGTGAGTGAGCGGGCGGTCGGGTGCTTGGGTTTGGGGCTGGAGGGTGGTGGTAGGGGCCTGGGCAGGGGGGGGGGGGGGGGTGGGCACTAACATACCTGAGCCCTCACTGAGCCCTGTCAGTGTTGAGTGGGCTGGGGACAGGGCGGCCTCGCTCGCTCTCCGCACCACCACGATGGCCTGTCTCAGAGACCGGGCCTTGTGGAGCGAAGCCAGAGCCTCGCTGTGAGCAACAGCCTGCATTCGGCTGCCATTGATGGACAGAACCTCGTCCCCACGTTGGATGGTTCCCTCCTGAGCAGCCAGGCCGCTGACAAAGACCTTGTGTACCTGAAAATCAACAGACGGTTATCCCTTCAGTGCCTTTTATATCACACAATAATCCTTGTATTATCACATCGTCGAGACATCTCAAAGCACTTCACAGATTATACCGTGTACTGTAAAGTGTGTTTCTGTGGGCAAAACGCATGGTGACGGGTTTCCATGTGTGTGTGCGCGTGTCAGACACCCGGCTGGTCACGGTGACGGGTTTCCATATTCCGTCCTACTTTAGATACGAGAAAGGACTCACAGTCACTCTCTTGGTCTCACAATCTTCTCCCCCAGCGATACTGAAGCCAAGTCCAGCTCCCTCTTCCTTGTGTAAAACCACCACTCGAATGTCATCCAGGGACTGAGAGAGACACAGACAGAGGGCTTTATATAATACATAATAATCCTGGCATTTGTTACAGCACCTTCTCATGTCGTCGAGACATCTCAAAGCGCTTCACAGGATACACTGTAATGTGTAGTGACTGTATATTTTGTGGGTGAAACGCGGCAGCCAATTGCACCCAGAGACGTCCCCACAAACAGTCGTGGATTGAGCGACCAAATTATTATTAGGAGGGCGAGAGGCAGAGCTGTGTGTGTGTGGGGGGGGGGGGGGGGGTGTTGATGAGGGACGTAGAGAGAGACTGAGAGGGGAGTATTACCTCAAAGCCACCATCATCAAGTCCTTTGACTTCTTCCATAAGGAGATCCAATTCGTCGCTAGGAATAAGCGACACGAAAGACAGGAAGGAGGCGTTGGATTGCAAAGAGGCAGAGCGATCCAACATGTCAGCCTTCCTGCTGTCTTCCCTCCAGCCAGGCCCACAATCCCTGAGCTCTGCCAGGCTAAACACACACACACACAAAGCTTTGGTCTTCACGGTCTTCCACTCAAACCCTTCTCCCCCCCCCCACACACTTCCCTCTCTCGTCCCCACCCTCCCACCACGTCCACCAGCCGTAAACTCCACTCTCTCAGCCTCTCCCCAACACCCTCTCCTCCACCACCACCACAAGTATGTAGGTTCAAGCCCCACATCGGGGACTCTGAGCTCAGTCTAGGCTGATGCTCCAGTGCGGTGCTGAGGATAGAGAGGGAGAGCTCTATGCAACGTCTGGGCATCTCCAACAATGGAGACCAATCCCCCCCCCCCCCCCCCCCCCGGGGAAGATGGGGAAGGAAGGGTCAAGGCAGAGGGAGAGATTGAGGCAGTGAGTTTCAGGGCATAGTGGCTAAAGGCACAGCTGGAACGGAGGGCACGAGGACAAGCAGAAGGCTGGAGCCAGTGGAGCGGAGGCAGCGGGTAGTTGAGTGGGGGAGTAAGTAAGCAGGTCAGAGAGGTAGGGAGGTGCCAGGGCATGAAGTGATTTGAAGAGAGAGAGAGACACACTTTGGTCCTACCTGATGGAATAACTTCTGTCCAACTGACTCCCGTCACTGTGTGTCGTCATCTCAGACTCATCAGACTCAGACCACTCATCATCCAAGTTGAGACAGGGCAAGATGGCTGCTGTCTCCAACGACCGGTCAAGGCCAGCCCAGGACACCAGAGGACTGGACTCAACTGGGAAAACCACCAGAGAAGGGATGCCTTCGCTGGTGGTTTTTGCCATTGCTGGCAACAAGCACCGTCCTCCATCCTTTCTGGTGGCGTTGGCCCCTTCAGACATCGGTGTAGACAGACACGGTCTTGTGCTCAAGGTAAGATCTTGCCCAGAGTTCCCCAATTGACCATCTCCCTGCGTTGGAGCCTGTGCGCTGGGGCTCACAGCACAAACGCTTGCTCCCCCCGCACCCTCAGACACATTCCCCCCATCAGACATCCCACCAATTCGCCCCAAGCACGGGCTCTCTGGCTTGTGTTGCCTAGCGACGCAGCCTGGACCATCTTGGGGTTCAAAGCCGGTGATGTCATGGCCTCTTTGATGTCTCATTGAACTCCCATCCTCCATGTTGACCCTGGATGAGGTCCAGCCTGTCAGAACCACTCGTCCTCTCGTTAATGGAAGATCTTCTTTGTTGGCCTGACCCTGTTGGGTCGAGGGTTGACGGAGCAGAGAGGGGACAGAGAGAGACCTGGGGCGGTCCTTTCCCGACCTCAGGACGGACAATTCAGCAGCGAACCTCTTTGACGGCTCAAACTGGGAAGCCCTTCTGCCAACAAGTCCTGGTTTCAATATGGATTCAAACGAACGAATGGTCTGCTTGACAGATACGCGCTCTCTACTGCCCCCTGATGGAACCTGGCCTTGCTGCGTCTCCTCCATTCCACAACCATTACTCACGGACAACTTCAAGGCTCCTCCATACTTCTTCCCTTCATCTCTCTTCCTGGGGCTCCCACCTGCTGCTCGGCGGACTCCCTCAGGGTCTGAGGAACCCTCAAGGCTTGTCCCAAGGCACAACCCCAAGGCGCTTCCTGGGCTTCTGAACTTCCCATCTTCTGCACTCTTCTGCATTCCCCTTTTCCCTTCGTTCTTCCCTTTGTCGATCTCAATGGCTCTCCAGAATTGGGCTGCGGCCAGGTTGGGACCTCTCAGACCCCCACAAGACCCTGTGAACTGTGATTTTGCCCCCTTCGACCACTCCTGGAAGCTAAACCTCCGCACAGACCCCCTCATCCCGGTCTCTGGCAGACCCTTCTCCTCCGAATCAGACTTTGAGGACAGAGAAACTTTTCTTGACAAAAATATGACCTCTCTCCCTGGAGGACCTTCTGAGATCTTCTCTGCACCAAGGCTGAGCCCTAAATCTTTGTTGTCTTCCTCCCTCGATCTGGGTTTGCTACTTGAAAAAGGCTGCGTGATCTTTGACTCCACAGTCAGCCTATCACCATACAAAGCCCCCTCAGACATACCCGACAATGTCCTACTGCTCTCAATCGTGTCCCATTGCCAGTAAACTTTTGGAAGAAGGTTTCCTTACTCCACACACGCACACAAACCTCTGTTAACCTAGCAGTAAATAGGAACCTGCTTGTTGGCAATTAGATGATGGGTTTCTGGGGGCAATAATCCCTTCAAAAAAAAAAGGGTCACTTCAATCCACTACTGTTTGTCACTGTGCGCAATCGGCTGCCGTGTTTCACCCACAAAATACAGTCACTCCACTTTACAGTGAAGCGCTTTGAGACATCTCGAAGACGTGATAAGGCGCTGCATCAAATGCCAGCGCTACTCAAGACCGAGGTGGAGAGATGTTTGTCAGGCAAGGGTATCAAAGGATGCAGGGCAAAGGCGGGTAATTGGAGTTGAGGTACATAGAATGGTGGAACAGGCCTGAGGGGCTGAATGGCCTCCTCCTGTCCCTACATTTCTATTATGTATATAATTATTAACTTGCAATTAATTCAATGGAAGCCAGGTCAGGGGGTTTAAAATAAGCGATGAATCCTACCTTGGTTTAACTTTGTGCAGTTGTCCAGAGACTAAACAAGTGTAAAGACCTTGGTTTGTTCTCCAGTGACACGGAAGCAAACTGGCACTTCCCCTTTCTCTGGGCTTATGGTAAGCAACTGCTCTGCACTTGATGTGCAACACCCAAACCGACAAGAGAGAGCGCGGGAGCGAGGACTTGGGGCTTCCTGTTTCTCTGCTTGCACCACACTTCTCTCGGCTGACATTCAATCACGTGTGTGTGTGTGTGTGTGTGTGTGTGTGAGAGAGAGAGCCTGGCTCAGTCGCTCGCTCTCTCGCCTCCAAGTCAGAAGTTTGTGGGTTCAAGCCCCCGTGTCAGGGCTTTGAGCTCACCCACAGTCCAGGCTGACTCTCCAGCTCTGCACGGGGGGGGGGGAAGAGATAGTGTGTCACATTGTGGAAGACACCGTCCTGTTTGCGGGGACGTCGTTGGGCGCAAATTGGCTGCGGCGTTCACTCGCAAAACAAAACACACGGTCACTACACTTTACAATGAATCCCGTGAAGCGCTTTGAGACGTCCTTGCTGGATCAAATGGAAGGTTGATTCTAAATCCCAGTGTAGTTCTGAAACACCTTTTTAGATTTCTCCATGGTCTTGCTCCACCTCCCTTTCTCCTTCACTCCCTCGGCTCAGTGCCTGCTTCACGTCCCCTGCCGTGCCCTGTCCACCATCACAGGCCAGGCTGGCAGCTGATCAGCCCTACTCTTTGGAACTCTATCCCTCCTCGTTCAGTTTCTCCTCGTTCAAAGATCCCGCGACGCTGTTGGAAAGGGAACTTCTCCTGGTTTCCTGGACGACAATCCTCCACCTAAACATTGCGCCTTGGGACGTCCTCCCGACATGACAGACGCTTTACAGATGTAATTTGTTATTGTTGTCGTTCATTCACCCCTTCCAGGTCCTGCCGATGAGCCAGGCTGGGCTGTGCTATCATCAGCTGTGTCCTGGACACTGCAGACCTGCCCGGCTCAGAAAGTAGACTACACCGGCCTGTGCCAGGACTTAGAACCCTTATGGGCTAGAAAGACATTGTCGGAGGCACCGTCCTTCAGATGAGATATTAAACCCAAGTCTCCACATACACATATCACGCATATATACATACACACAACACATACACACACAACGCATATACCACACATTTATAACGCCCAAAAATTACCCAAACGAACTTGGTTGTTTTTTTATATCAGGAAATTAATTACAAAAAGCCATAGAAGAGAAGGTATGGAAGCCAGTCCCGTCTATAGCACTTTGTGTTTTATATATACACAGAGATACGTCATTCACTGAAGTCAAGCACAGTACAAAATAACACCTCAAAGAAGCAATAATACATTGGAGCCCATATTATTGGTTTGGTTTCAATCCTACAGAACGGGGTGGGGGGGAGAGGAGGGACAGTGTAGGGGCGGGTGAGAGGGGGAAGGGAGGGGGAACGGGGGGGAAGGTTCTGGAAAATCATAGAAGCTTCTGGATCCTTCCTTCAAGACAGGCTGGGACAAAATGACAAAAATAAAACAGCAATTCTTCCCCCCCCACCACCCCCACGTTGTATTTTGACTGCGGAAAACAGAAGAAGATTCTAGATTATACTTACAACAGTAAGGACGTGGGGGAAATACAGACAAAAAGCAGAAACTGGTTCGAAAACTTCTCGTTGCTACATGACGTGTAGTCAAGACTTAATCGTGTCATTTCGAGGGGGGGAAAAAAAAACTCACAGCTCGCTCAGGAGTTTTACACACTCTTCATCTTTCTTAAAAGGTGAGGCTAGCGGCGATGGGAGGGAACTGTTCTCCCTTTCTCTCCCCACCACCGCTCCTCTCTCTCACTCCCCACTCCCCCCACCCCCCTCTCTCCAGCCGTGCAGGCCCGTCAGTTGGGCCCCCAGTATCCGGCACTGTTGTAAGCTGATTTGTTGGCCTGCGATTTCTGCTGGATGCTGCTAGTCTGACTGCGTTGTCCTGTTCCACTCTGCAAACACAAGACACAGAGTGAGGTGGGGACGGGACGGGACGGGGGGGGGAGAGACAGAGAGATGGAGGGAGGAGAGAGCTGACCTGGCTGTCTTGCTGCAGGTGGAGGATTTGCGAGTGCATCTGTTGTTGATGGGGGGTCAGGATGTGCATGAAGGGGGGAGGATAGCCGGCTGCGGTGGCTGCACTGACAGGTCCCCCACTCCCCAGGGCCGAGGGCAGGTTAAACGAGGCTGTGGGAGTTCCAGTGTGGAAAGCCTGCTTGTCAAAAGACTAGAGAGAGAGAGGAGAGAACACGCACATCAGAGAAATTTCACGTTTTTTTGACCAGCCGGATGTCTGACCCCCACACACGGAAACCCGTCACCGTGACCAGCCGCGTGTCTGACCCCCGCACACGGAAACCCGTCACCGTGACCATTGGGTGTCTGACACACAGAAACCTGTCACCATGACCAGCCGGGAGTCTGACACACGGAAACCCGTCACTGTGATCAGCCGGGTGTCTGTGTCTGACACATACACCATGATCAGCCGAGTGTCTGACACGCGTGCCCTGTGCGGGCACATACCTGCTGCGTCTTTGTGTACACAGATCCTGAGATGTCGGGCACGCCCGTGTTACTTGAGGTCACTGACACGCCAGCTTTACAGAGAGAGAGAGAGAGAGAGAGATAGGACATAAGAGCTCAGCACAATCTCCACCCGCCCCTCCTCACACAGCTTTAAGAAATAATCTCTGCAGTTGATACCGCGCTTTCTCACGTCTTTGTCACATCTCAAAGCCCTTCACAGGACACTTTCCCTCCCCCGCCAGCAGCCTGCCCACCCCCACCCCCACGTACCCGTGCTGTAACCGTGCGTGCCGTAGCCACTCGCTTGCTGAAATGCCGCGGCAGAAGCGTTGACATTCACGTTCACTCCGTGCTGCTTGGAGGATGATGGAGGGACCTGCGGGGAGGAGAGAATCATCAGAAAGACTCAGGCAATTTGCTCAGTTATTCATTTCAGGAATTGTCTCCTCGGATCTGAAATGTCCCCAAGGTGACACGTGTGAATGGAGCCCCTCCTCTGACGGCTTCTAGTCTGGTTCCTGAGCCAGGAGGGTCTACAGTCAGCCTAGACTGTGAGCTCAGAGTCCCCCACGTGTGTGTGTGTGTGTGTGGAGGGCTTGAACCCACAATCCCCGACTCAAAGGCGAGAGGGAGAGAGCGCGCGACCCTGGCTGGAAGCACAGCGAGCTGAGGGGAACGAGAGGTACTCACAGCAAACATGGCGGGTCCATACTGGAAAGTGTTGGGGAGGCCGGGGACCCCAGCGTAGTAGGGGAGACTGGTATAGCTGTAGCCGGGGGGCAGGGCGGGGTTCAGGAATGTCTGCTGGGTGGTGTGGTGGGCCTGGGTTTGGCTCGGCTGGGGCTGGGACAAGGTGGTGGCGGGAGCTGGCGAGGAGGCGTCTCCACGGCCAAACTTAGACAGGTCACCTGTGGGGAGCGGGGCAGAGACAGGCAGAGAGTTATTTGATACAGCGCCTCATCACAACAACAACAACTCGCCCCTCACGCAGGGTAGCGTCCCGGAGCGCTTGACAGTGGCGGAGTCTGACCCTGAGCCGGGGGAGAGGGAGGGGAGACCGTAAGCACGATCGAAAAAGGAAGGTCTTTAGATGGCAATTGAAGGTGGTGGTGGGTGGGTGGGGAGGGGAGGAGGAGGCAGGGCGGAGGGAGGGATTGAGAGTGACAAGAGTTTCAGGGTGTACTGGCTGCCGATGGTGGAGTGGAGGTAGCAAGGGTAAAGCAGGAGGCCAGAGCTGGTGGAGCGGAGGCAGCGGGTGGTGGTGTGGGGGATGAGCAAGTCGGAGACACAGGAACAGAGGTGCCAGGGCGTGAAGGGATTTTGATGGCTTACCGGGGTAGGGGGTGTTTGTCAGGCCTGCTTCTCTCCCTGTGATTGGGGTTGTAGGAGTGGCAAATGGGATCCCATAATAATCCTAAAAGAGGGGGAGAGAGACAAACTATTAGCTACAGCCACACATTGGCTGTGCCCTCAAACAGATCAAGCATCTCTCAACAAACCCGCCCTACCATCAGCAGGTACAAACCCGTCTACCCCACACTCTGCATCTCCCCCACCTCTCTCCCCTCGTTCAAGACCTACCTTGTTGACCGAGAGAGTGAGTGAGTGGGAGAATGAGAGAGTGAGTGAGTGAGTGAGTGGGAGAATGAGAGAGTGGGTCAGAATGAGAGTGTGAGAAACAGAGAATGCGTGAGTGAGAACGAGAGTGTGAGAGAGAGTGATGAGTGTGAGAGAGTGATGAGTGTGAGAGAGAGTGAGTGACACCATCTGTGCAAACAAGACAAGTCCCACAAAATGCGAGGGATTGTCAGCCAGGACATTGGGTGAGAGAAACTCCCTTCGCGTTTCCAATGGCATTGAGGGAACATCTGGAATCGACATGGCACAGGGTGTGTGTGTGTGCGCGCACGTCTGTGGGTGGGCGAGCGGGGGGGAGGGGGGCGGAGAAACTGGGTGGAAGGTCTCACCCCAAAAGTTGGAGCCTTGTAAATGGGAGAGTGAGTGCCTGAGCCAGGGTGGAGTAGTGCCACAGTGTCAGTGTGAGCCACTTACCAAAGGAAACCTGGTTTGAAGCATCTGCAAATCATCATAGCCATACACCTGTGGCTGGGAGAAGAAAAGTATCAGTCAGCCTGACCTCACAGCCACCAGCAACAGATCTACCTGCTTGTACCTCGTGGCCTCCGCTCGGCTGGCTCCGGCCTCCTCTGCTTGGCCCTCGTCCCCTCCGCTCCACCGCCGATGGCCGTGCTTTCAGCCACTACGCCCTGAAACTGTCACTCTCTCCCCCAATCCCTCAGCCTCGCCCCCTCCTTCAGATCTCACCTGATGACCTTCCTCTTCGATTGTGCCTACAGTCACCTCCCACCCACCCCCCCCCCAGCTCAGTCACTGTTAAGCGCTCTGGGAAGCTGCTCTGTGTGACGGGCGCTGTGTAAAAACCAGCTGATTCTGGTGGTGTTACAAGTCTCCAAACCAGACCTGAGCTCCACATGTGGATGCCAGAGAGACAGAGTGACAGAGACACAGCGGGTTGGGGGGTGGGGGAGAGAGAGACACACACAGTGAGAGACAGAGAGAGTGAAGGGGAAAAGAGTGAGAAAGACCCATATCTACACACACACACAGATAGAGAGACAGATAGAATGAGAGAGAGAGGGTGAGGGTGGATGGAGGGAAGCGAGACCGGGTGATAAGAGTTCCACATGTGGATGGCAGCTGTGAGGGCAAGCAGTCGGGTGGGCGGGTGCATGTCTGGC